AGATTTTCAATGAACAAATTTCATCCGTCTCATAATTTTCAATACAAATCCACAAGCACTACACGTTTGACACTGACACTTTTGTGGAATAATGACCATTAATCCCGCTACTCGTCATTAATCCCTGGAGGAATAACATATGTCATTATACTGCCAAAATCACAAATATAATACGCACATTATACATTAGTCGTAAATAATAGTACATTATATACCTAGGTAGAGAAGTTGGTCATTATATACCGAGCGCTTTTATAAACCGAGACGCGTAGCGCCGAGGTTTATAATGCGTAAGGTATATAATGACTTTCTCTACCGTGGAATATATAGAATTTTTTTTACTACTGCTATAGTAGAAAATAAAAAATAAGTTTGAAATCTGAGCTCAAATTATTTTTTCTAGTTGAAAGTGCTGCCCTCTATCAACATCTATGGTAATTTCCTATGATACATACAGGAACCTGTTTTTTTGATTAAATTGACAGTTTGAAATTGAAATTAAATCAATAGAAACCTGTAACGTTATGACAATATCCTTGCGTCATGACGTCATTTTCATTATTGACCTAGGTTTTTTTTCATTATTTTCATTATTAACCTAGGGAGAGAAATTCAATTTTTTCCGAGAAAAATATATTGAATAATGACTACTTCTCAGGTTAGTAGTAAAAAAAATTTATAAAAGCTGTCCTTTGCAATATTCTTCATCCATTGTGACAATTTTCATAAAAAGAAACCCTCAACACACTTGAATAACACAAAAATAGTACTGCGTCAGCAGGAGTTCGTTTGCTGCGTTTGTTGTTTACGAAAACTTGACGTCACGAGCGCTGTCATATTGAAACCACCATTGTAACTTCGCGTTTCCGCGCCAAAGTTTTTGATTTGAATTTCAATATATTTTTTTTTTCGTACAACGTATAAATTAAAATGGAAAAAATAAATTGAGAAATATGAAAACTCCCTATTGTTGTATCAACATTAATTATTGAAAATCTCAGAAACTGTCAAGATACAGGGTATACAGAAGAGTTTCATGTGCTAGTCAAATATTTTTATTTATTCAGCTAGGGGCCGGTTTCTCAATAGCGAGTCACCCCCGGGGTAAGCATAACTCCAGGGTAAACATAACAACTGAACACGCTTACCCTGGAGTTAGAACTAACCTGAAGGTGACTGGCTATTGAGAAACCGGTCCTAGAAATAATTCCAATGAAGAATTTAAGTTTGTTTTACCAATGCACATCAAATATTGAGGTAAGTATAGGGAAATTAATAAAATAATGTATGTGAGGGATCAAAATTTATGACGTTAGCATGTCGCAATGTTGTCGCATCAACTTCGTTTTAGTTTGACATACCATAAAGTTGGTCATTTTCCCAGGTTACATTTTTATTAATAAATTGATAAGAATAATTATAATACCAAAACACGAAATTCCATCAATACAATTTTATAGCAAATTAAATTATATCTCAAATATCAATCCCCGACTCGTTAGAAACTGACGACAAACCTAAAAATATTAAAATCAATGACCAAAGATTTGCAGAAGACAACTATTGGCAACGTTACCCATGAATGCCAACCTACATCCCATTTTATCGGCAGATTCGGTTATATGATCCGACAGCATTCTATCTCTTTTTAACTAGGGTTAAAAAAAAAAGAAAATGCGCTCTGAGTTTAAAACGAATTTTAATTTCTTACAAACTGCAATTGGCAATAATTTCGACGTCATTGATGACCTGCAACCATTATTTTAATAATTTCACTATACTTAGCTATTTCAATAATAAAAATTGTATAATAATATTTGATTAGAGATCCATGGCTAAAAACAAGTAATTTCCTGTTATTTGTTATTTTTCCTCCAAATTTCGCAGACTGTCCTAAAACATCGTTCTAATCACTTTTTCCAAATGGCTTTTTTCGAAATTTTGCTATCTAACCCCACTTTTCGCGTTTCCATATCTAAATTTCCGAATTTGCCGCCACAACAGTGATCACGTGACCAATGTCAAAATGTACTTTTAGGTTATCGGACATGCAGGATCGATCGAACATAAAAAAAATTCCATATCCTACAAATAAAAAATGTCCCCATATGTAGCGAACATTATGGGGGACACTATATGAATATATAATTGAGTATTTGGTTAGGCAAAAGTTTGTTAGGCTTAGCTTTAGGATTGGCAATGGCAAATTGTAGTTTCTTAAGTTGTAAGTTGTATGTTGCAAATTGATGATGGTTTCAGGGAAATGAAACGTTGCAGTAAAAATGTGTGAACTCCATTTTGTTGAGCCTAAAATGTGACAACTGCACTCCACTGAAAAGTGTTTTTTATTTTTTGACACCTGTCAAAATAACATTAGAAATTTCAAACTTTATGTAAAAGGTAGTCAAATTGCCCAACTTTTTTCCAATCTAACCAACACTGTAATTCTAACCGTTCCCCAGATCCTAATACTATCCTATTCTTATCTTAGACACACGTATAATATTTTTTCAAGTAAAGTCTCTTCAATCTTGTTGCAGAAATCCAGTTGTGTCAGAAAGTTGCCCGAATAATTGTTATTTATAGCTCATGTAGTCCATTATTATTATCATTAGTCTTAAAAAAAAAACAAAGTTTTCCTTGCAAGATTAAAATGGGCCTTCAAAAAAATAGTCAATCAAAGAGTGCTTGGATTACGAAAACTTATGTCGAATTATTGTTTCTTTATTGGTCAGGATTTTTGACCTGACAATTTGACATTAACTTTCAGTGACAAAATTTTGCAAAAATATTGCTAAGATATACGTTTAAAGACTCATAGCAATCTTGATTGTTTTTTTTTTTTGAAGACCCGTTACCTACTCTTCATAAAAGAGTTTTTTAAACCAGAAGAGTTCTTCGACCCCAAAAAAACACCCCTAGACTTTATAATTTTTTTTTTCTATTGGACTTATAGGTCGAATATCAATGGCTTTATGTAATATCTAAGTATTCTTTGTAACTGTGATTTTATTTCATGTTTCTGCTTTGGATTTTTTTAGCAGATTTTACCATTTGGCTTCTCTTTTGGTTCTAGCCCACTCTAACGGATCAATTAACATCTAAGAGTGATACTATTGTAAAATTGCAAAAGTATTAATATTATTTAATAGTCTTTGAAAAAAAAATTATAAATGCCAATTAAAATCACAAACCCCCAACATAATAGAACGGATATTATATCATATTGGCCTGAAGATTATTCTTATATAAATAATTAAATCTAACAATACTTGCTTAATTTCCATGACAAAATTCGTTCCAATCGCACCCGAATGTATATTCAATCAAAACATGCGGCGTCCATTTCAATAAGTTTTCTTTTGTGATAGCACAGTGGGAAATCGTCAAACGATCAAATTCTTGAATACTTTTGCGCCTAGCCGATGAGATCATTAGGTAATGGTTTGTATTGCTGGGGATCTACCTGTTTCAAATAGATGATCTCTAAGGTAGCGGTCTCCTGTAGTTTAGGATGTTTGGAATTTATAAAGTAGGCATAATAAACTCGTTCTGTTTTTCTAATTGAAAGTTTTAAAACTTGAAAAGTTTTATACTATTTGATTCAGTATACAATGGGAAAGGTTTTTTCTCAACTTTGACAGTTATCAACATTTTTTTCTGTAAAAACACATCTGAAATTATACACTAGTTTAAGCTTTTGAATGTGAAATAATCTATTAGAATTTCTCACCCTTCTCAGTCTAAAGTATGTAATAATTATTGATGACTAGATACCTTAAAAATGTATCATACAGTAAGAAATAAAGTTGAATCTTTGCTACTGGATTGTTAATTTTTGAAAAAAAAATCCTTCTCGACCATTCTTGGTAATATAAAGACGTAAATGTGAAAATTCAACTTCCTTATTTTTGATTTTTTTTTTCCAATTGCAATATTTTGTACTAAGTGTTAGGTATCTTTTGTCGATTCATAAAATGAGGATTTATAAAAATTTGTTGTTAACTTTTAAAACGCATTATGAAAATTGCAAAATCTCTAAATTACAACAGGAAAAATTGATCTGGTAACATTTTTTAGTCACCTTCGAATTTTTTAGGTAATTAAGTAATTACATAGGTACCTATTCAATTTAATTCTGTGACAAATTGTCTACAGGATATTTTCACTGTTGCCAATTTTCATAAAAGTTAAAATGCTGATAACTTTCTCAAGAATGCCACCAGATTTTTTAAATTATATTTCTGGAGTTCCTTGAAGTGTTCTTCACCGCGTAGTGAAGAGTTTTTACGCTATTTTCCACCCTGTAGAAGTTTTTACTACAATAAAATGTCTCGAAGATGTAAACAACTCCATTCTTAGAATACGGTCAATTCTATTTTTTTGTTTTTTTAATATGATTCCTTTCCTGAGTCTTGTCCAATAATAAATAAATAATTTATAAACACATTCTTGGACTGAGTATCTCACAAGTAAAACCAGTCCCCCCACCAATTTAAATAAATAAATAAATGTTTTATTAAGGGACCAGCCATTTAACATGTAGTACATTCAATAAGAGTGACAAAAATTACTATAAATATATAAAAGGATCAGCCTTTAACGTAAAATAAAATAGAACAACAAAGACAAATTTGCACGAATACGAATCACATTAGTAAAGAAATGCTTCCTAATTCAAAGGAAAGAGACAAACGAAAAATTGTGTGTTCGAACACTTCTAGACTCAAGGTGCTCTGTCTTAGTTGTTAGTAAGATGAAAAGAAGAAATAGTACTCTTTATCTAATTTTCACATTATGTTCAAAAAATTAAATGATATTCGCAAATGTATTTCATTTAGGATACTCTATATTGGAAGCTGATGATATTAATTAATTTCTCTCACAAAGAGCTCAAATATACACAAATGAACCACGTTTAAGATATTATTGAAGATAGCAATTACAGGAAAGTGATCAACAAAATAAATTAAAAATTGCACACATCTTCCTTATAATAGGATATAGCAGCCAGGGGCATTGATGTACCAGAAGCCGATTGTATTGTGCAATATACCGGTCCACAATCAGATGAAGATTATCTACATAGAGTTGGACGAACAGGGAGAGCGGGAAAGTCTGGTTCGGCTATCATTTTCCTCACTCATGAAGAACAAGATTTCATACCTCGTCTTCAAAATCATAAAGTCTTGTAAGAATTATTAATAACTATCTTATTTTATGTTGAGTCATGCAATTTTACTTTTTTAGCCTTAAAGAACACGATACTACCTTATTGGACAAAAATCTTACAGAATTTATGGATGAACCTGACAAATCGGAAGCTACTCTAGCTTTACAAAGGAGATATGAAACAGCTATAGCAAAAGATAAAGAGTTACATAGAAAAGCTTGTTTTGGTAATACAATAATTTAACTACATGTGTATGTACAAATTTTTTTCAAAATGTGGTTGTTTATTTCCAGCATATTCTTCTTGGTCCAGGTTCTACAGTGGATTTCCAATTAAAATGAAGTCGGTTTTTGACTTAAAAAGAGTAAACATTGGTCATTATGTCACTAGTTTTGGATTACAAGAATCCCCAACTACAGTGGCTAGGATCGTCCGAGGACAGGCTACAAAAAGTGAACCTAAAAGACTAAATAAGAAGCTTGCAAACCATATGTGAGTATTTTCAATTTTATAAAATTCGTTAGATCTCTGAGTTCTTCTAACAAACTGCTTTTTTTCAAAATGTTTTCCTTAATTGAAGTTGACATTTGAAAACTGCTAGCTGCAAGTCTTTTAGTCTATAATTTGAAATTCTAATACCTATTGGAGGGTTTATAAATTAAAATAAAAGTAAGATTGGTTCTGACAGATTTTAGCAAATACATTAAGGCCCGGTTTATTCATCTTCGGATAAACTTGCGGGTTACTATCTGCAAGATAAATATACCGTTCTATAATTCTATTGTCGGCGGATAACTGGTTTACCACTAGGATTACAGATTGCGTTTTTATCCGTCAGATTGCATTCTTGATAGTTTATCAGAAAGTGAATAAATCGTCCCTAACTTTGTAACAATAACAAAGGCTGTGCACCTTTTTTTTATGACTCTTTTTATGACCATCTGCCTGTAAAGCGGACTAGACTTCCTTAAGACTAAAGAAGCGTGTACCTGTAGGCTCTCATAATAATAATCCCTGAATGAAGAAGAGTTAATTATCAAGCGTCCCCCGTCCCGTCACTAATGTGTTCTTTCTTATTGCCTTAATTCATAATGTAGATCGGATGCGTCCCATTATAAGACGTTAAAGATTAATTATGGCGCAGTTACACCTGCGATTTCGGAGAGCATTGAGGCTGCATTATCTTTTGCCTTTAAGTCTGGCTTAATTAGCTCTTCATGTAACCTTTCATTGAGCTGGAAGTAAAATTGCTTACGTATATGGAAGTACTAAACATATTTGAATTTATTTTTGCAAACAATCTACCTTGTCCGTTTTAATAATGAAATAACCTTCCTGCATGATATTAAGAATATCTTTTGTTATTTTGGATTAAAAAAAAACGCATTTTGAATTTTTCAACCGATAAACTTTTAACAGCATGCTTGAACAAATTAGTGTCCACATGATTGTGTTTATAAGAGCATCAGCTTGAAAGTGCATTTAATTTAAATAATTTTATAGGAATTTGAATTGAATATTGCTCAGTTGAAAAAAAGGTTATGAAAAAACATTTAGATAATAATATTGCCTCCAACTTTCTTATTCAATAAAATGTTTTTTGTCAAATTTATAATTAACCGAGATGCTTTACGATGCGTAAATTGCGCATGAAAATTCACCTTTATGTTGGGCGGCCTTAGCGGCTGCAATCACTAATGGAACACACTTTTATATCAAGTTGAAAAATATTTTTCTGGTACCGACACTACATACCTAGCCTTCCTTATCTAGGTATTTTGGTGGCTAAGAAAATTATTTAGTAATCGATTTAACTCAAAGGGGAAGATTTTTTTCCTGAACAGTAGCCTCTAATCCTAATTACTAGCAATTGGGATCTTCCCACCATGTGGCGGTATTTTTAACTGTTTCAAGCGGCCTTTTTGACTACGTCCAGCCGACAAGCCATTCCTCGATAATCGTACCTACCCATACACATTATTAATGAAGCGAAGTGATTAATAGTTTTGGCGGATTTCGTTAAAAAAGCGCCCTTTCCTCTTAGATTAATTACCACTTTATTACCTTTTACGTTAAGCCTACTTAGATAGTCCAGTCAATCAAGCGGGGATTCATTTGGAGTTAAAACAATATTTTTTAATTATAAATTTGATCTGAGATGGCAGATGGATTTTTATTTATTACGCCTGAGTTTCGTGGGTCATTACGGGGATCATTAATACACAACAACCCCCCTGGTAGGTACTTCACAGGCTAATTGCCATAAATAAAGTTGTTATCAATCTTTCCAAAGGATTATAGGCGGGGTGCGTCAAGTGGAAGCCTAAATTACTTTTTTATTATCTGTCAGATATTAACTTCTGACCAATAAGCAGTCTTTTTCAGGCTCACCCATTAGTACTAGACTGGATATTTTAAAATTTTTGCAGGGACAACGTAGAACTTAAAATTCCAACACAGAAGAGGTCACGCAAGTCAGTTGGTTCATCGACGTCAGAGTTTTCAAGCGGTTTGACACCTGCTAGAAAGAAACAGAAAAAGTACTAATTTTAATTTGTTTTTTGTAAGTTGTTATTATACAAATTATACAATAAAATGAGTATTTTATTATTAATATTTTTTGTTAGAGAAAAATTGGGATTCCTAGATGAATTTTTTTTTCTCTTGAATGTTCTGTTTTAAGAGTGGGAATACGGATACTGCCCTGTCGTAGATGATGCAACGCCTCTATGTAAAAAAAAACACTCTAGAAATGTTTTGAAAAAACTATAACTATTGTAATTATTAAAGGTCATAATTTTGTAAATAGGGAACTTGCAAGTGAAGTAAAATTTTCCAAATTTGTTTTAAATCGATAGTTTATGCTGCACAATATTCATATGACCAGTTTTTATTTAACTGATACCGCCCTTGTTATACAGAAAATAATATTAAATTTGAAATAAAAATTTTCCCGCCAAAAAATGCTCCTAATGAATACCTGTTTTGACGTCACGATTCTGTAAACAAACCCGTCAATAGGGAAATCTGTGATAGGGAATTTGCACGTAAAAAAAATACAAAAGCAGTCCTTCACAATATTCTTCATCCATTGCGACAATTTTCACAAAAAGCAAACTTCAACACACTTGAATAACACAAAAATAGCACTGCGTCAGCAAGAGTTCGTTTGCTGCGTATTTTATGTTTACAAAATCTCAACGTCACAAGCGCTGTCAAATTGAAATTCCGTGTTTTCGCGCCAAAGTATTTCATTTGAATTTCAATAATTTTTTTTTCGTACAACATATAAATTAAAATGGAAAAAATAGTATATTATATACCTAGGTAGAGAAGTTGGTCATTATATACCGAGCGCTTTTATAAACCGAGGCGCGGAGCGCCGAGGTTTATAATGTGTAAGGTATATAATGACTTTCTCTACCGAGGAATATATAGAATTTTTTTTACTACTACTAGTAGAAAATAAAAAAAATATTCAAAATCTGTGCTCTTAATTATTTTTTTGAACGCCCTTTTGAAAGTGCTGCCCTCTAACAACAGCTTATGATAACTTCCTATATGTACCTGTATTTTCTTTGAATTGACGTATGAAATTGAAATTGGACCAATAGAAACATGACAATATCCTTGCATCATGACGTCATTTTCATTATTGACCTAGGTATTTTTTCATTATTTTCATTATTAACCTAGGGAGAGAAATTCAATTTTTTCCTAAAAAACTAGATTGAATAATGACTATTTCTCAGGTTAGTAGTAAAAATAGTATATTATATACCTAGGTAGAGAAGTTGGTCATTATATACCGAAAGCTTTTATAAACCGAGGCGCGCAGCGCCGAGGTTTATAATGCGTGAGGTATATAATGACTTTCTCTACCGAGGAATATATAGAATTTTTTTTACTACTGCTAGTAGAAAATAAAAAAATTGTTTAAAATCTGTGCTCTAATTATTTTTTGTGAACGCCCTCTTGAAAGTGCTGCCCTCTATCAACAGCTTATATAACTTCCTATGTACCTATAGAAACCTGTATTTTTTTTCAATTTGACGTATGAAACTGAAATTGAACCAATAGAAACACGACAATATCCTTGCGTCATGACGTCATTTTCATTATTGACCTAGGTATTTTTTCATTATTTTCATTATTAACCTAGGGAGAGAAATTCAATTTTTTCTTAGAAAAATAGATTGAATAATGTCTATTTCTCAGGTTAGTAGTAAAAAAAGAAAATTATGTGATAACTGATGACTAGAAGTATCTAAAAAAAAATAAGTTGAGAAATATGAAAATTCCCTATTCCATTATTAGGTATCTACCTATTACAATAATTAGAATATAATAATTAGGTTTACCAGCTGAAATTAATATACCTAGGGCCGATACTTTTGCTCTCGATTAAGAATTTGATATGTCGTCAAAGGTTTGCTTGGGCCAAGGTCTATAAGTATGATATGGTTAGAGCACATATTCTATGGAGCACATTCAAACCCCTGATTATTTTTAACAGCTGTCAAATGAGAGCAAAAGTACCGGCACCTATTATATAGTCTGGCTAGCCAAACGGCGAACTGAAAATAGAATTTATTTGTCACTCATTTGTAAAACGTCATTTATCAAGTCAAAACATAAACAACGAAATTTAATTTTTACCAGTTACTGGGTCTACTGACTTGTAAAATTGACAGCTAAACTGTAATAGTTATTTACCTAACAAGTGCGGAAAGTGGTACTTTTCCGCACGAGACGGCAATTGCACGAACGACGTGGAGCGGAGTTCGGGCAAGCCGTCGAGGGTGGAATAGTTATTTACCTAACAAATGCGGAAAGTGATACTTTACCGCACGCAACGGCAGTCAAGCCGTTAAGGGCGGTAAAGGCACTTTCCGCATGTGTTAGGTACATAATTTTACCTATGAGCATCTACATCTCCAAAAAAAGGCATTGATAAAATTAATGAATCAGATTAATTAATGAAATTAGATAAGATTTAGAAATGATCAAAAATCCATTTTCTGAAAGAGAGAGGATTTTTTATTATAAATATCAAATTCTACTTTACTGCACACTATGCGGTAAAGTGCACTTTACCGCACACTTTGTATTCTACTTTACCGCATACTATGCTGTAAACTTAACTTTACCGCACACTATGCGGTAAAGTGCACTTTACCGCATAGTGTGCGGTAAAGTGATACTTTCCATTTGCAAATACGTGCGGTAAAGTGCACTTTACCGCACGCTCGTAGGTAAAAGACATTTTCCGCAAGAGTTAGGTACTATATTTTTCCTACGAGTGCTTTTGTCCATCTTATTTATCAAAAAAAAAATTCCAATACGCAAAGATTTTATAATGATGGTACAAAATAGCACATAATATAATAGCTATTTATACAATAAGTTACGAAATGAGCGTCTTCGTCTTTTAGGCACGCGACGTGAAAATTGTCCAACGAGGCAAAGCCGAGTTGGACAACACGTCGAGTGACTAAAAGACATCGTTTCGTAACGTATTGTATACAAGATTTTTTCTACTGGCATTTTATAATAAAAAAACACAATTTTATTTCATGTGAATAAGTCGATTACACCCAAAATCTTTGTTACCTGCTTTTACTTGACACCTGACACTTTTCATGCGATTTTCTTTTCAAAATTCGACATCAATAATTAAAATCCTAGAAAGTAGGTAATAACACAAACTTCTGTTTTGAGTAACCCTAACGTTCAATTCAGTAATTCCATTTTCAATATTCATAATAAATACAAAACAAAATTCAAATATGTGTTTAGTGTGTTTTTTATTTCTGAATAATGAATGACACTTTTAGGCACTAGTGCTTAAAAATTACTTTTACGCACTCATAAGTCACTTTTACGCATTCAAAAGTCACTTTTACGCACTGAGTGCCTAAAAGTAACTTTCACGCACTCAGTGCCTAAAAGAATGTCGTTTCAAAACTGAAATGACAATCGAAAAGTTGCTATTATGAAACGTCAGTAGAAAAAATAATATATAACATAAATCATTTATTTGATCCTAAATATCTTCATTTTTAGCAATAAAAAAATCGTGCGGAAAAGTAACTTTTCAGCACGATTTTACTTTTCTGCACGATTTTACTTTTCCGCACGATTTTTTTATACACAAAAAAATAATGGAACCGGATTTTTTTATCATGATCCTTGGCCTATAACTAAATTTGCCAAAAAAATTGTTAGGATTCCCTACCTTCGCGGGGCTATGCCACCCAAAATAGGGGGCCCTGCGGGGCTGTGCCCCCAAATAAGGGGCTCCGCCCCCCAAATAAGGGGCTCCGCCCCCCAAATAAGGGGCTTCGCCCCCCCAAATAAGGGGCTTCGCTCCCCCAAAAAGGGGCCCCTCGGGACTGTGCTCCGCGGGACTGTGCCCCTCAAAAATGGGGCCACCAAATAGGGGGCCACCGCGGGGCTCCGCCCCCCATATAGGGGGCCCCCGAACTTTAATATGGGTACACTTTTCAGTAAAAGTAAAAATCGTGCGGAAAAGTAAAAAAATAGTGCGGAAAAGTAAAATCGTGCGGAAAAGTAGAACTTTCAAAACGAAAAATCGTGCGGAAAAGTAACTTTTCCGCACGCTCGTAGGAAATAGCTATTTACCTAACAAGTGCGGAAAATGAATTTTTCCGCACGCGGCTGCCGTTCACCGAACGACGCGTAGCGGAGTTCGGTGATGCAGCCGAGTGCGGAAAAATATTTTCCGCAAGTGTTAGGTACAATATTTTTCCTACAGGCGAAAAAATGTAAAATTTTTCTTTTTTTTTTTGACATATCAGTGCGGTAAAATTTTTTCCGCACTGACAGCCGTGCGGAAAAACTTTTTCCGCACTGATATGTCAAAAAAAAAAGTTTTACCGCACCGTGCGGGAAAACTCATTTTCCGCACGCATATCAGTGCGGAAAATCGATTTTTCCGCACGGCTGTAGGAAAAAACTTTTTTCCTACGAGCGTACGGAAAACGCGTTTTCGCGCACTGATTGGCGTGCGGAAATTACCACTTTTCCGCACTGCGTGCGAGAAAAAAATTTTGCCGCACGGCGTGCGCGAAAAAAGTTTTTCACGCACTGATTTATTTATTTTTTCTTTCAATTTTTCTCTTTATGTCGCATGCTTCTCGAAAATTTTAGATCTTTTCGAAATTTCTCCGCCGTTTTTCCTCTTCAAGAAAGCTATTAGGTTTTTGTACTGACCAAAACTCTTTAATGAGTTGTATACCATAAATAGTTAATTCTACTCGAAAAAATAATTGTTAATGTTCTGTTATTAAAATTATTGTGTTGATAAACTTAATTGAAAAATCACATTTTTGACCATTTCTTTTATCAGTAGAGCCAAAAGCAAACAAAAAAACAATGTGTTAATTTTCGCACGCTCGTAGGAAAAATGTTGTACCTAACACGAGCGTAAAGTATCTTTTCCGCACTTACGGCTTGCGTGCGGGAAAGTATAACTTTCCGCACTTGTCTGGTAAATAACTATTACCTACGAGCGTGCGGTAAAGTGCACTTTACCGCACTTATTTGCAAATAGAAAGTAGCACTTTACCGCACATTATGCGGTACAGTTACTTCACCGCATAGTGTGCGGTAAAGGTAACTTTACAGCATAGTATGCTGCAAAGTGTGCCGTAAAGTTCATTAAAAATCCTTTTTTTCTCAGAAAATGGATTTTTGATCATTTCTAAATCTAACCTAATTTCATGAATTAATCTGATTAATTAATTAATTTCATTAATGTCTTTTTTTGGAGATGTAGATGCTTATAGGTAAAATTTTGTACCTAACACATGCGAAAAATAACTATTACCTGGCTAATAATGTAAAATACTATTATT